GAGAGGACCGGGCGGAGCTGCTGGTTAGAGCTCCGCCGGGTCCTCTCTCCTCCTTCCCTCACTCAGCCGGCGGCCGCCTGTAACTGCCTGTGGGCCGGTGAGGGAGATCTTTGATCTCCCCACCGGCCCACGGAGGCACACAGCGGGGCCGGCGCTCGGATAGCGCTGGCCCTGCACGGGCTGGCAGGGGAGATCCTGTGATCTCCCTGCCGGCCTCGGCCCCACGGCCATCGCGGCCCACCGGGCAATTGCCCGGTGTGCCCGATGGCCAGTCCGGGCCTGATGGAAAGTGTTAAAATACCACCATCTGAAATACCATAGGGTGCCTACTTTTCAAAAATATATGGTTTGATGGGGGTACATTATATTGTCCGGCTTCAAAAATGTCCCAAATGGGACATGGGTTCATGATGACTGTGAAAATTCTGAGTTGGAAAACTGGAATGCACACCCTTCAAATAAGGTCTTTTAGCCCCCAGAGAACCCGACACACCTATACATGGGTGGTATCGCTGTACTCAGGAGATGTTGCTGAACACATATTGTGTTCTTTGGCAGTAACCCTTAAAGTTCTCAGTACATATATTCTTAAATTGCTATGTGTCTCAAAAAAATCACCAATTATTATTTTATTTTTTTAATTTGGCATAAATTGGTGGTAAAATGGCTGCATGAAAAGATTCAAAATACCCCAGGTTTAACACCTTAGGTTGTCTTCTTTTAAAAAATACATACATGTGATGGGTTATTCTGGGATTCCTGACAGATATCAGTGTTACAATGTTACTTGCGTTAATTTTGAAAAAAATTGGTTTGGAAACAGCAAAGTGCTACTTGTACTTATAGCCCTATAACTTTGCAAAAAATGGGGAATTTCTAAACTCAGGACAAAATTAAGAAACTATTTAGCACAGGTGCTTTTTGGCACTTGTAGATGGGGGTCAAAGTTCAGAAAAGTGTTTTTTTTTCAATTTTTTCATCATATTTTATAAACAAAATTTATAGTAAATTATATGATAGGATGAAAATAATGGTATCTTTACAAAGACCATTTAATGGCGAGAAAAACAGTATATAATATGTGTGAGTAAAGTAAATGAGTAAGAGGAAAATTACAGCTAAACGCAAACACCACAGAAATGTAAAAAGAGCCCTGGTCCCAACGGTAAGAAAATTGAAAAACGGCCTGGTCACTAAGGGGTTAACTATTTAAGGACCACATGACGGTCTATGTTCTCATGCAGTGTAGGACTTTAAGCCCCTTGACGATATAGACCCTCATGCAATAAAGGTACCAGCAAGGGTTGCATCCCTATTCTTACCAATGAACCCCAGGTTTCTATCGATTAGTTAGTGATTGACAGATGAGCTATGTGCAGCACTCAAAGTGAGAGCTGTGCATAGCCGATTAAATCCTTTTAAATACTGCAGTTGAGTGATCTGCCCCTAGCCTGCCACTTTAGAAAAATGGATCCTTAGGTGTCCTTTCAATACCAGGGGGTCCCATTTGTCATATTCCCTTTAGAATGTAATTGTGGAATTATATAACAATATCAATATATGAATAATAAAAAGATAAGCTAGACGGTGTTCTGTGTAAAAAAACACTTCAGTAAAGACAGCCACTCATGGCTTGGTTCTATCGAATTTGGATCTTTGTCAAACCTAATAGCACTAATGTAAGACATTCCTTAAAAGAACCATACTCTATCATGTGACTGTAATCTAAAGAAAGCTTTACATATGCCAGTGTCATGTGTCTCATTCCAATACTGTAGATAAAACAGAATGGTCACTTTGGAAACAAAGCAATATTTGCAATTCAGAAAACATAATAATGTAGAATGCTATTAATCTGTGTAGATTCAATACATTTATAATTAATTTTAAAACAAAGTATGGGCTACCTAATACAAAAATGTGCACCAGATAAAAAAAGAATTTTTCTTCATTCCAAAAGGAAAACAAGCATTTGATCAATTATAGTATTCAGTTTTTAATTTTAAAAACAAATGAAATTTGCTAATTATCTGACTTATTGCACAGTTTAATATTTTGTTGACCTGGTAATTTTTTTCGTTCTTTATTTTTCTTTTTTTAAGTTACACAACAGTATGAAAACATCCAATTGGTGCATTTCCCTAGGACTAGTTGATATATGTTAAGAGTATTGTTGCTCCATCGTAGTGAATACATGCAATTTAAGGATTATATGACCAACCCTCATCAAAACTGTACAATTGTAATGTAGGATGATTCCTGTGAGCCCTAATTATGCAAACTCAGTGGATGACATAACTGAAGTTTGGGATTATAGACATTTCAAACATATTAAACTCAGAAACAGGCCCAAAAAGTGCCCGGTGCTACGTGCAGGGTAAGGGTTCATCAAGAATAAACTTTATAGCTTACAAATAAAAGGTGCATTGGGATAGACATAAGAGGGATACCTCATGCCTTTTCCGACCGTTATGATTGAGTGAGTAGTTCCGTCTATAGCAGTTTGTCAGTAAGTATGTATGTCTCCCGGGTTGCTTCTCTGCGGCCCATGCCACTTCTCATCAGCGAGATTAGAGGACTGCGTGTAGTCGTGGAGAGGAATTTACATGTGATCTAGAAATCTCATATAAGTGTCTAACCCCTATGTTTTTGCTGAAGGAATTTCAACCATGGTTCCCATATTTTATTATATAGAGTGTATTTATCGGCAAATGAATAGTGAAGCTCCTCCATCACCCTCATCGCCTCTATTTTCTGAATCCATTCTCTTATCGTTGGACCTGTGGTTTGTTTCCAATCTATTGGAATGAGTAGATTAGCTGCTGTAAGCAAGTGATTTATGAGAATGCTTTCTGTCTTGGGAAGCCGGGTTGGTTGTAAGAGGAACATCATCGTCGTAGCTATGTTGGCTACATGTATGTCTGTAGTACTGTGTATGAGGATGGATATTAGTCTCCAATACTCCTGAATTACAGGGCAAGACCACCATATGTGTGCGGGTGTGCCTGTCCCTTGGGAGCTAGTCCAGCGTGTTAGAGCTTGTGCAATTTATCTGGCGAATAGTGCCATCGAGAAATTCTCTTGTAATTTGCCTCTATTGTGCTACAACTAATAGTGGTCGTGTGTAATTGTGCGAAAATGGTGGACCATTCTGCTGGTGTTAGCGTGATTTAGAGGTATGCAGTCGATGATGATGTGAACGTGGGTAGGTGGTCTTTGTACTCAAGTTGTAATACTTTATAGAATGTAGAGAGATGTTTAGTCTTTACAGTGCGAGAGTGGCACTTTGTTTCAAAGTCAGAGTAGGGACGGTCCCCTGTCAGTAGTATCGGTTCTGACTGTATGAAGTGCGAAAGATGGGCATAAAAAAAGGATTCCAAAGGTTATGGTTGTGCCTTGTGCACAATGCTAGGTAATAGTTTTAGGGCCTTATCCTCCAAAGGGAGCCTAAAATGAGGTATTTAGATTTGTTAGGTGGTTTAAATGCAGTGGTTTGGAGACCAGGTGGGAAGAGGGGATTATGCGTCATTGGGTAGAGAGGAGATGGGTGTGGGGATATGTAAGGTGATTTTCTAATGTGGTTCCAAAGTTCAAGGGTTGGTATGATCGTTGGGTGTAATTGATTTTGTGGGCGTAGGTATTTTCGG